TTCTTTTAATAATCCTAATACTTACATTACTTTAATATTGTGTAGAATTTAGTACGTAGATATAACAGTATAATATGGCTTTAGTATAGATAGAAACGTGTAGTATTAATTAATAATATAGAACAAAGAGGTGGTGCAACGGTTGTAATCAATAAAAAGGGGATTAAAAGAATTTACATTAATGAAAAATGAAAATTTTAAGTTTTTCTTTGACGAATACAAGTAATTAGAGAAATTTATTAAGTAGGTATTGCCTAATTGATAATGTAATATATTTCGAAGATAGTAGCATCTCTAGCAAAGACAGTAATATTTAAAATATGGTTTCTACTCGAATATTATTGAACTTAATTAATAAAAGATAATTAATAAAGAATATGTAAGTTTCGCTGATATAAATTTCGTCTATATTATGAATTCGTTCGATTTGATTCTCCCAGAAATTATGTAATTTGATTGGATAATTATCACGGGAAATCACTGGTAGATCAGCCAATCAGATGAATGTCGTCCTATGAGCTGTAAATAGTAGATTTAGTAAGGACTCCATATGTGGCAAAATAATTATAACATCCCCACATTTCATAAATTGCGGAACCAAGCCTTGCGATAAATATAACTACAAGGGAGTCCTTCGCAAAATCTTGAAGTATCTCAAGAAACTCTGGGTCCTTTTTAGCAATGCGGTCTACTCGATCAAAAATCAAGACTATCGGGCGTTTGTATTCTTTCATATAGTAATACGCTGTGTTGAGGAGTTGCATGCTTAAAAGGTTCCAATTAGGGTATTCAGAATGATCATCTTGTTCTATATGCCAAGTAGAGCTTTTGTGAGAGTAAATGTGAAAAAAAATTGGTATGAAGCACAAAAGAACTATATGATACCTTTTCTTATTGATAATAAAGGGATGATTTTAAGGACTGTGATGGATTAACCAAGTCGAATAACCTCGTAAGTGTCGTTCTCTACTACAATTCCCGCAAGTCGCCATGTGAATGGCTATATCTGATCCACAAATGTTCTAGAATCCGAGTCTTAATAAGCCAAGTCGAAATTACAAGTCAATTCAGTCCGTCGAATTGAGTCTCGAATGGGATATTAAAGTTACAAGTCGAATTCGGAGAATACTTCACAAGGAAAAATTCAGATAAGTAGATATATTTTATTATTCATTGGTAATTGATATTGGATGAGAACTATCGGTCTTTATTGAATTCAAAGAGCTTATATACATTTTGAAGGTTTAGAACATTTACACTATGATCTAAACGTTTACGCTGAGATTTGAGCGTATGCAAAGAAATCTTAGCGTATCCTACTAAAATTCATGTAAACGTGGTATGATTTTTAGGGCGCAAGCATTAGTGTAATCGTGTTTACGCGAAAATTTCAACGTTTACGTGATGCGTTACTAGTTTAGAATTCTAATTACTAATTATTATGAAATCGGTTACTATTACCAAAATGGATGGTGTAATATAGCTAAGTTATGTACGAAGGGGAAAGATACTGACTAAAATATAAATTTAGCGCAAAAATAAAGGAACTAAAATTTTAATTCGTTACGTTAGATAATCAAATATTCGCACCTGGACAAGCTTATATAGCGCTGAGTCGTTGTACTAAGTA